TGGCCAACTCCTACGAATGTGACCGAGGTACGTAGCTTTTTGAGCTTAGCCGGATACTATCGGAGATTTGTTAAAGACTTTTCAAAATTGCAGTGTCACTCACCAAATTGACCCAAAAGGGTGTTTCGTTTGAGTGGTCAACGCAAAGAAAATCTGTTTTTCAGGAGTTGAAAACAAGGTTAACTACAGCACCAGTTCTTGCTTTACCATCTGGTACAGAGGGATTTGTTATTTACAGTGATACCTCTTACAAGGGATTGGGCTGTGTACTTATGCAAAATGGAAGGGTCATTGCCTATACTTCTCACCAACTCATGCCTCATGAAAAGAATTATCCCACAGACGACTTGGAGTTAGCCGCCGTGGTGTTCGCTTTGAAGATATGGTGGCATTATCTGTATGGTACCCACATGTGAGGTTTACACCGACCATAAAAGCCTAAAATACTTCTTTACCCAAAAAGAGTTAAACATGCGACAAAGACGGTGGTTAGAGCTTATTAAGAATTATGACCTGCAAACCCACTACCACCCCGGCAAAGCTAACACAGTTGCAGATGTCCTTAGCAAAAAAGTTGTGGGGAATTCGGCAAGTTTGCTCACAGGGCAAAAAGAGTTGCTACTTAATGTGGAAAGAATGGACATGGAAATTGTGTTACGTGAACAAGGCGCAATTTTATCAGCAATGTCAGCTCAACCGGTATTTATTGAAGAAATCAAACAACGACAAGTGGAAGATGACTTTTTGAAGCAAATTTGTGATGAAATGGAAACAAAGCCAAGGCCTGGGTTCACCCTTGACAATTCAGTGTTGAAATTTAAAGACAGATTGTGTGTTCCAAATGTTCCAAAAATTAAGAAAAGGATTATAGAGGAAGCACATAAGTTGAAATTTGCATTGCACCCCGGTAACACTAAAATGTACCAAGATCTTAAGCAAAATTTTTGGTGGCTAAGTATGAAGAAGAAAATTGCGGAGTTTGTGTCAAAATGTTTGCAATGTCAGCAAGTAAAAGCGGAGCACCAAAGATTGACGAGTCTACTTCAACCTCTCCCAATCCCAGAGTGGAAATGGGAACATCTGACTATGGATTTTATTGTTGGCTTACCCCGAACACCCCGAGATATGAATTCCATATGGGTTAATTTTAATAGACTAACAAAATTTGCTCATTTCCTACCTGTGAAAACTCAATATAATACGAATAAACTTGTTATTGCATATATGAATGAAATTGTGCAGCTACATGGTATTCCAGTTTCAATTGTATCCGATAAAGATCCGAAATTTGTCTCCAGATTTTAGCAAAGTTTACAGGATGTTATGGGAACAGAGTTGAAATTCAGTACGACATTCTACCCCCAAACTAATGGCCAATCAGAGAGAACGATACAAACACTGGAGGATATGCTTCAGATGTGTGTCTTGGATATCCAAGGGAGCTGGGAAATGTATTTACCGTTGGCAGAGTTTGTATATAATAATAGTTTCCACTCAGGTATACGAATGACACCATATAAAGCTTTGTACGGGAGGAAATGTCACTCTCCGGTGTGTTGGGCCAAAGTCGGCGATAGATCACTATTTGGGCCCGAACTTGTGCAATTGACGACGGAGAAAGTTCAAATCATCCAACAAAGGTTGAAAACAGCCCAAAGTAGGCCACAGAGTTATGCGGATCACCGGCGAAGGGATTTGGAGTTTGAGGTTGATAATTATGTCTTTGTTAAAGTCACCCCAATAAAAGGACAAACAAGATTTGGCAAGAAAGGGAAATTAGCACCCCGATATGTAGGTCCGTTCCAAATTCTAGAAAGAGTAGGTCCAATGGCTTATCGTGTTGCACTTCTATCAAGTATGAAGCAAATACATAATGCTTTCCATGTATCTATGTTACAGTGTTACCTTCAAGATCCGTCCCATATTATAGATTACCATCAAATTACTTTGGATGACAACTTGATCTACGAAGAGAAACCGATTCAAATTTTGGATCGGCAAGTGAAGCAACTACGGAACAAGATAATTCCCATGGTAAAAGTTGAATGGCAAGAACACTACGGAAAAGAAGCCACGTGGGAAAGAGAAGAGGAAATGAAACAACGGTATTCGGAGTTATTTTCAACTTGAGGTAAAACAAGTTTGAGAGACCAAACTTCTTAAAAAAGGAAAGAATGTAATAACCCGACCCTCTCATATGCTTTAATATGCCCTACTTCCTTCATTATGTGCGTGGTTATATGCGTGTTTATGAGTTTGATGTAAAATTCCATGTTTTAATGTGTGAATTATATGTTTATAACTTTGTATCTGTCTGTTATAAGAAAATCTGTTAAAATTGTGATCTTTGAACTGAAAATTGAAAGCCTTAAAGGCACAATAAACCGAAATTGACTTTACAGTTATGATTAACATGGTTTTTAGAACATAATATGAAATTTTGTAAAAATTTGATTCGTAATGAATTAATTGAATTTATTTGGTAAAACTCTTAATGAAGCCCAACTTAGGCTCAAATAAGCTTGGCTTTGGTTAATATAGATATATACTTGAGCCTTAGAAGACTTAGACTCAACACCAAAACAAAAATATCTCCTGGGTAGAACGAAAAGAAGAGAGGAGAGAGAGAGAGAGAGAGAGAGAGAGAGAGAGGAGGAGTATTCAACATAGGAACTTGAAATTGAAGAACTTGCTAGGGGCTTCAAGGAATACAATACAACGTCACTCGCTGGAAGGAACCACCGCACAACCAGATCACTATGAGTACTAATAGTGTAATGATATGTTGGATGTTATGATTTATTTATTTTTGATCACAAATGATATGATTGGTACAACTTGTGTTTTGATTAAAGTGATTGAGCATTTGCCAACGACGACATATGATTGGGCCCAAGACCATTCTAATACTATGATTGGGTCTGAAGCCGTTTTGTTATGTTTGACCTAAGGCCGTTCTGTATCATCTATTGGGCCTAAGGCCGTTTTGTTAATATGTTGGGCCAGAGGCCGTTCTGTTAATATGTTAGGCCTGAGGCCGTTCTGTTAATATATTGGACCCGAGGCCGTTCTGTTGTTGTATGTTAGGCCCAAGGCCGTTTCGTCTTACGTGAGCCTAAGACCGTTCTGGAATATGATTGTGCATAAGTCATGCCTATGTTATATAAAGATTCTTCAAAGCACATGCTCATTTACATGCCTTCTTGCATTATTATTATTCACTGAGCCTTACTCACTCCGTATTTATGTATGTTTTGTAGGTGGTTAGCTTGGAGGCTAGCCCCTAGGTCAACTTCAGGACTTTTGACGAACCCGTTTTGTTAAGCCTCCAACGTTGGAGCTTTTTTGTCTTTTTGAGAAGTTCCTTTAGTGCCACCAATTTGTTAAGCTTTTGGTGGCTACATTTTGTTATTATAAAAATGTTGGATTGTTAACTCTTTGTATATAACTACATGACTTGGACTTGTGTATATATGGCTTATGTACTTGAACTTATGCGATATGATGGGTTAGAATTATGGCATATAAGCACTGCTTAGTGGACATTCTGTTATGTGATTTAGCTTCCGCTTTAGGCCCCATATATGATTTGATTCTTTTGAATTTTGTTTTGAGGCCTAAGTACAGGCCGGTCATGGCCTAAATTTTTAGAGGCAGGTTCAGATCATGACAACATCGATCCCCGATCGCACAAAACACTTGTTCCCCACGAAGATGCAGCTGAAATCCTAGTACTTGTACCCAAAAACTCTGTCTCTGCGATTGATTGCTTCTCCTGGCACATAACACTTCCGGTGACCACCAGTCAAGGCTCAAACACTGACCTTCAACCATCCATTTGCCCTCTAGAATTCTGATTGCATCTACCTTAGGTGAAAAGGTGAACAACACATACTGTCCTCCGATTGCGTTCACCTGCACGCCTCCACTGACTTTCCACATTCGCTGAACCCACACCGATAGGCGAGATAGCTCCACCCCCTTCTCCCCTAAGTTCCCCACTCTCCCAACCAAACATGAATCTAGAAAGGATACCCAATCGGCACCAAACCCCTGTCACACCACCCCCCCAACCCCTAAGACGACCACTGCCTTCCCAATCGACCATGAATTATCTCTCCTCCCTCGTTCCTTCCCTGCTGTGATCCAACCATTCCCCACCGAAAACCCATCCAAAACAATAGTAGCACCCTCACATCCATTCCCGAACAATGATTGTGGAAGGAAAATCTGATTGCGACGGTCGCCGATATGAACCACAATCTGAACTGTAGACCCCACCTCCTCTGGACGTAACCAACACGCCACACTTCGTCCCCCCCCAACAGAGACCCGACCTAAAAACACCCCAACGTTGTTCATCGTGGAAGCCTTTCACATTTGATCCGCAACCCATTTTATCTCTACACCAAACAACTAGATAGCTCTCCAAACCCCATGGCCACATTCGACAATATCTACTCGTCGCCGACCTATCACATCTACCCGCCCTTCTTCAAACTCAAAAGACTGATCTCCCAAAAAAATCAACCTCCGGCAAAGCCCTTCCGGCTCTGCCAAAAACATACCTTCAGGTGCTCACAATTTCAAAAGAGATTTGCTGGTCTTAATATTTATTAAAATGTGATCCTACTTGTTTATTGCACGCACCAATTGATACACCAATTAATGTATCAATACATGTTATAGCATTGCAACTTTAAAACTATGAACCTTATCTATTATATAAAACTACAAAGACTTAAAACCAATAAATCTATGTCACATCATCTGTTAATACACTAATTACTGTGTATAACTTTATTCTAAAAGAAAATAATAAAAAACAAAACAAAAATCTTGAACTAATAAAATATTTTAAAATGATGCTAATATATTAGATTTTGCAATCATGCCAATTCCAAATTGCTGAATTATCGATATTCAAAACCTTGCATGAAAATAACTACTATAGAGCTTAAAACAAGTACATGCCAAGAGAAGATATACACACATGCGGATACGTAGAAATAACTATTATGATCCAAAAAGCTATTATAATCCAATTTATTACTGAAAATTTAGTACTCATAAAATGAGGGTGTAAGACAAATTGGTCAATAATACAAATCTAAAAGAAATTGCCCATCATAAACGATTTGCAGTTATTACAAATATTACTACGAAAAGTAGTACGGGACACCTTAATCTGGTGTAGCTGCACCTTGGTTGAGCTCAGCAAATCGCATGCCAACACGCATTGAGTGCTTCAAGAACTTCTCAGCACACCGACGGACACAAGTCTCCTCTTGCTTGTCAAGGGATTTGCGCCTGAAGGTGTCTACGCAATCGGTGAAACATCTCTCCACAAGTGAGTTATACATCCTTAAACTGCAAGATTGAACAAGGGTAAAAGAAAATGAAGTTCTATCACTATCATATCTCATTTTGTCATTTTCACTAACACCTTTTGATTCCTCCGACAATTTAACAAACTTGCACAATAAAAACTACAACTTAATCCACGAAAAATAATTGTCAAAAAAAGTTTAATAAATGAAAAACGAAAAGAAAAAATAAAGAAATTAAAGTTCAGACAGAAGTACTCAGAATTATCATTCACATCTAACTTTTTTTACCAACCACAAATCTTGACCTATCTACGACATGACAGACACTAGAATAGAAATTGTAGACTTTACCCAAGGTCAGACCACAGTATAATTCTTAATTCTCTCTCTGAGTGAATTTTACATATTCCGTATACTACAATAATTGCAACCACAATCAAATTCCATAACTCACCAGCCACCTAACAATGGAGAAGAAGATGATTAACACTTTCTCATGCCCTTTTACACATGAAACAACAATATATAATCATTTTTTGCCTTTTACTCAAATTTTCAGCAGTTAACACTTTCTGCTGCCCTCTTACACATGAAACACCATTTTATAATCATTTTTTGCCTTTTAGTCAGATTGTCGCAACAACTGTATACAACTACACATGAGTCTATCATGACTACATGATGTTTTGTACAACCTTACCTTAGGGGGGTAATCCTTGAGAAGTTCTAGGTGGGATTGCTAGATTCTTCTCCTTTTTCTTCTTTTTACTCTCCCACTATTCTCTGGTCATTGTTCACGACACATGAAAAATCCACTTTTTAACAGCGAAACCCTACCCAATCACGACCAAATCACCCTAACCCTTTCCTTATTGGCCTTTAATTTAACAGTTAGGGCACGTTTGATTGTATCACTATTAGTGGGATTGAAAGTGAAGGAAACAAGTGAAGCCCACTGGATTGTTAGTCCGATGTTTGATTGCAGGAAAAGGAGAAAGGGATTGGAGGTGGGGAACATGTGGGTCCCACCAAATAGTCCAATTCAGTGTTTGTTTGGCATGTTGCTAAATTCCGGATAATTTTAGTACTAGCAGAGAAAAATGGAGGGCTTAAATAATACCGTGTGGTATTAAAAGAATAAGGCCTCTCCAAATTATGTTTTTCTTCATCCAACGGTCAAAAATAATTATGTCTTTTCATTTAATTCTAACCAAAATATAAAAATACATCACTGTTTCTATCCAACCATTTATCCCATCTATTATCTTATGGCATAACTTAACCCCCACAATCCTATCCATAATCCTATCGTATATCCAATCCTTCATCCCATCTAATCCATGGTATAACTTATCCCTCACAATCCTATTAATAATCCCATCAAAAATAATCCAACAAACAAACATGGGCTTAAAGCCTTAAATTACTCACTGTTTAGACACTGAAATAACCTTTATTCTGGAAATCTAGCAAGTTCCCACTTTTAAAAATCAAACCAAAACTCTTTTTAATCTATAGACCCTAAAAACCTTTTTTTCAACCTTATATAACCCTAACCCTAACTCTGAAACCTTTTTGTAACCAAAACTCACCAAAATTCCAATCGTAGGCAACCTCAAGCCTAATTTCCTAATTTGTCTTCTATCACCACCACAAAGAACAGACTCAGCAGATCATTATAAGTTCATTGTATACACACATACATTTGACATTAAAAGAAACACACAAACTAGTCAAAATTTAGGATCATGTTCAGTTAGGGGCCTGACTTAGCTCTAGGTATATTTTATTATGGAATTAACTCATATGCTTTCCTAAGATTTATGCAATATAGAGAGATTTTTTTGCCAAGAGCACAAAAATTAGACTAGGTTTGAGAAATGACTGTAATTCGATAGATGTCAAAAACACATGTCATGCACGTGATGGAAAGCATCACAAGACAGCCTAATGAGGACTGATGCATAAATAGATAATATCTATAAGAAATACTTGGTTTCTAAAACTTGACAAATGTTGCATTGCATATATTGACTTTTTCTTTGTACAAAACAGAATAGCAAAAAACAGCTTGAGGATCAAAGAAAGTAAAGTGCAAATACAACTACAGATTAGTTTCTAAGTAGAATCACATACACCGGTAAGAGAATAAAAAGACCAAGTTGTTGCCATCACTGGACATTGACTATGACATAACTCCTCGCAAGTTCATGCAACATCTATTACAAAACAAAGTAAATTGATGACCTTAGAGATCTCTATTTGCGTACAAGTGTATAGGTTTCTGATGCATCCCAATCAGTCCTATACTTCCAGAAGCCAGACAAAATAAATAGTGATTACAAAATTAACTGAACATTGAATTTTTTTTAATCTTTTTTTTACTCAAACAGAAGTTTTAGCAGCAGTGTGGATTAAACAAAACTAATGTATGGTATACAATCAATAAAAGCCAAGAAGATGAGGAATGTGTTAAATTAAATTACTATAATGCTAGTATGAAGTTCTTGGCTGCTTATATGGAGTCACATACAGTAATGAAGCTATATATAAATAAAATAAGATCTTATAGAACTTGAGTAAAACCAAGAGATAGGATCACATGGAATGCAATGCAAGATTGATGCTACCTACAAATTCACAATAAATAAATATCAAAAACACACGAGCTAAAACTTCTCAAAGTTTTCAATTTTTTTTTTGACCAGAAGAAATAACAAAGCATAGAGGAACAAAATCAAATACTAAAAGCCATGTTGATAGAGGACACACCATATGAGATTTGGTGCTTCAATGGCTTTGTTTAGCCTCTAAAATAACATGTGATGTATAGTCTAGTCTATGATTCACAATATTATTTGAGGCGTGACGTTAAAGCATCACCAAATTCAAGCAATTACATTGTTGTTTGGACCAACTTTTGTAGCATACACATGGCAAACTCACAGGTTGACATGTGGCATTAAATTTGCAAATTCCTCACGAGGAGAAATTATCCGATGGATCTGTCAACCTGTTCATACTATCAAGGCTATCTGGTTCAAAGAGAAGATATAATAAATACAAGAATGGTCAGAAGGGGATACAACTTTGTACATCATACATGGCTATCCTCAAAAAGTAGGACATTGAAAGAGTAAGAAGAAGAGGATTACTGTTAGAGATTTCCCAATACTTGACTATTTCGATCTCTACGACCAGACAAGCATCCCTAGAATTACTGGAAAAACTTTCTATTAGTTCTCATATTGTTAGTTTGAATTCTGGTTGATATATTTTTTTTCTTTGCTTGTGTTCAATTTCATTCCAAAGAAGTTCTGAAGCAAGGCAAGGAACCCTACATCAATTGTCTAGTACGAAAAGCTCCTTCGACAAGGTTACACGTCTTTCTTTGAAACACTTGCACCACCGAAAAATACTCCAAACCTTTTACACCTTGAAGTTGTAAACATAAACTGGGCATGGATATTACACCCTTAAACCCTTTCTATGTGACTCCATGTTACTTCCCCTCCTTTCCCCACACAAATATCAACTTTAACTTCACCTTGCCACCCAATCATGTAATTTGATCATTTACAGAAGTGAGTAACTCATTAACTTCCTAGTTATCAAATTAGGCAAGTGGGTAACTCAATAACATCCTCCTAGTTATCAGAACACACTTAAAACTCTTGAAAAATGTAAAACACAGCTCAATCCCTAAACAACAAAAATGTGATACAAACCCTTGCATAGAACTCACTATTGATAACCGGTTTTCAAGGAGAAGGTGCATTGCTAACAAGCCGAGCTGATTCGAGCTTTGAGGTGTTCAAGCTTGACTTGTTAAAATTAGTCCAGCTTAAAAAATCGAGCTCAACAAGATTACATAAATGAGCCGAGCTCAAACTCGAGCTCAAGCTTGAAATGAAAAATCAAACAAATTATTATGAATATTAAGAAAAAAGAGAAAACTAAGAGCAAAATATAAATTAAAAAAAATGCTTATATTAATACAGTGATAAATTCCATCAATTAAATATGTAAATGTATACAAACACCAAATATAAATAGATAATAAAACAAATTAATTAAAAAAAATAATATTTAATTGATGAAATTTATATTCTTTGTGTTCACTAGCCTTATTGAGCTTCTAATAAATAAAAAAAAACAAGTCGTATCGAGCCAAGCTTGGATTTACTTGAACTTGGATCGTTTACTAAACGAACCTAAAAAATGGACTCAAGCTCATTTATCTTCATGCGGCCAAGCTTGATGGGATCCAAAATGACTCAACCAAATCCCCAAATCAAGTACACCTCAAATTACCATCACCACTACCAATGCAATGCAACATCTAGAAGAACCAATTACAAGTAATACTGAATATATATAATGATTCTATGAAAAAAGAGATACAATAAATATCAATCGAATTAGACTACTCATAACAACATTGTTAAGGAAGGAGAAGAACCTATCGCGGATCTGGAGCTGGTCGATCATGGAGGACATCCTCAACTTGTCTTCCTCGGGAAGAGAGTCGAGGTCTCCTAGCATGCTCTTGTCCATCTTCGATTCAACAACGTTCCAGGGTTTTGGGGAGCTTTTTCCAGAAGAACTCGCGACTCCCGAAAACCCTAGTTATGTCTAAACTTGGTACCGGGTCAGAATCGGGCCCACCCAAATTAGTGATCAAGTCCACACTAGCAGACTTTTTTCTTGTGGGTCGGGCCAATCCGGAACCGAAAACTTTAGATCATTCCCGAGTTTTGTCTAATGGACTTTTGCCCAGAGCTGGGTCACACACACAGGCTTGCCCAACCGACCAAGATTTGTCTCTATATGTTTGGTTTGAGTTTTTTTAATTAAATTTTTTAGAAGTTGAGTTTTTTTATTTTCGTATTTTTTTTATTTTTAATGAATATTTTTAAAATTTTAAATATATATTTTTAATTTTTTTAGATACATTATATGTATTTAAAAAGTAAAAAATTTATGAAAAATATTTTAAAAATCTAATAAATATATAAAAATATAAAAAAAATATACTGAATTTTTGTATTTTTTTTTGTATTTTTAGTATTTAGTGAATTTTTAAAATATTTTTTTTACAAATTTTTTACTTTTTAGATATATTTATGTAAGGTATGTCTAAAAATTAAAAAAAAATTACTTAAAATATTAAAAAAATTTAGCAAAAACAAAAAACACAGAAAACAAGAAAGTAGAATTTTCTGAAAAGTGTTTTTGGAAAACTCTAATCAAACATGTATTCTAGAAAAATTTACTTATAAATTCCATTTTAAGAAATGTTAATCTATTCTCAATAATTTTTTTATAAATCAATTAATTCCATTAATTTTGAAAATATAAATTTAATATATTATTTAAAAATTTAAATTTACGATTATACCTTTATTTTTATTATATTTTTTTTCCTTTTTTTCTTTTATGTTAGAAAGGTAAGGTACACAATATATAAGAATTAAATTTAAAATGAATTTTTAGATGAGGATCTTTTTTATTTAGAAAATATTTCAAAATGACTTAAAATATGGGATTCTTCAAACATTCCAAAAGGATGTAAAATTCTTCAAACATTTTAAAAGAGTACAAAAACTCCTTAGTAAGTTTTGAATAAATGTATAATTTCAAATTGTAATATTCCAATATAACACTTAAACATAACACTCCAAAAGAAAATTTTTAATATGCTTTTTCCAAACATAATACTGCAAAAAAACTCCTTAGTATAACACTCTAAGGCTATGTTTGATTCACAATACTAATAGTGAGGTATTAATAATCCTATCAAATTAGTGTGGTATTAACTATCCCATCCCTACCCCATTACTAATAATCCTACAAATTTGTTGGATTAATTATCCATTGGATTAATAGTCCTAAACCAAAATGTCAAAACAAACATAGGATGTTTGGGCCTACGGATTAATAATCCTAATCCCATGTTTTAATCCTTCCAATCAAACATGCCCTAATGTAACATACAAAAAAACTCCTTAGTATATTTTTTTCAAGCGTAACACTCCAATATAACACTCTAAAAAAATTTCTTAGTGTAACACTCTAATGTAACATATTAAAAAAACTTCTTAGTGTAACACTCTAATGTAACATACAAAAAAAACTCCTTAGTGTAATTTTTCTAAACGTGACACTCCAATATAGCACTCTAAGAAAACTTCTTGGTGTATATTTTAATGTAACACACAAAAAAATCATTTAGTATACTTTTTTCAAACGTAAAACTTTAATATAACACTTCAAAAAAACTCCTTAGTGTAACGCTTTAATGTAATACACAAAAAAACTCATTAGTATAGTTTTCTTAAACGTAACACTCTAAAAAAAGAATGGGAAATTTTTCAAACTATTTTAAAATGATGTAGGATTCTTCAAACCATTCCAAAAAAAGTACAAAATTCATTAAGTTTTGGGCAAATGTACAATTTCAAATTGTGAGTGTTACATTTAGAAAAAGTACACTAACGAGTTTTTAGTGTTTTTGTGTGTGTTACATTGGAGCATGTTACATTGGAGTGATGCGTTTGGGATTACATTAATTGGAGTGTTACGTTAATTGGAATATGTTACATTGGAATATTACTTTTGTGTTATATTGGAGTATTACATTTGAAAAAAGTACACTAACGAATTTTTTTTGAGTGTTACGTTGTTATATTTAAAAAAAATACACCAAAGAGTTTTTGAGTATGTTGCATTAGAGTGTTACATTTTTATTCGTAATGTGGGATTTGTTCCAGAATGAGGGAAAATTCAAAACTTCTATAGTGCGGATTGCTTAAATATATAATTTTACATTTAAAGAAATCCACTTTTATCCATAAAAAATTAAACCCAAACATATAAATGACTATCCTCTTATGTAATTTTTACTTTAATGGGACATTTAGATTCATAAAAAAAAAAACAGAAAAAGAGAATTAAATAGTTTATAAGATCACATTTTAGCATTTATTGGTGCTTCACCTATTTTTCTATTTTTTTTTGGGGGGGGGGACAATTATAACAAATGATAATAATAATAATAATAATTCAGTGTTTGACCTCATAATAAAATAAATCATGAATTTTTAATTTTATTAATTTGAACTGTAATTTTTTGATTTATTTTCAATTTAAACTATTTATCTATTTTTGTTAATTAAAACTGACAAAGGAAAATAATAATTTAATCATTAAACTTAAATGCAAATATACATAAAATGTCTAAAATACTCATTTCATTGAGTATAATAGCTAAAATACTTATTTTCTTTCGATTTTACATAATGAAGATAGGCAAATAGTTCAGACTAAAAACAAATCAAAAGTTCAAGATTTAAATTAACAAAATTTAAAATTGAGAATTTATTTTATTACAAGGACCAAAGTGTAAGGGTTTATATATATATATATATATAATTTTTTCCTTATATTTACCAATAAATCTCATCTCACAAACAAGTATTCCAATCAGTACTAAATTTTTTCTATTGATCTGTAAACTCTCATTAGTGGAGAGTTTTTCTCCGTGTGGTTTTATTTTCAATTTTGATAGTATTTTGGTAAACGGCTATACATTTTTATTAATGTGATAAATATGATGTAACACTCCAATGTAACATGTATTAATGACACTCCAATGTGACGGGTATGATGTGACATTTCAAAAAAACTAAAAATTTATTAGTGTATTTTTTTTCAAATTTAACATGTGACCTTCAAAAAACTAAAAATTCCTTACTGTAGTTTTTTCAATTGTGACGATGTGGTGGGTATGATATGACAACTAAAAACTCCTTAGTGTATTTTTTTTTGGTATTTTGAGAAGTTGGTAAAAAGTTGACTTTTTGACTTTTTTAGTAGTTTTTTTGGCAAAAAGCTGGGTTGTTTTGGGTAAAAAAGTTGACTTTTTTGGCTAAAAAAGCTGACTTTTTTGGCAACTTCCCAAAAGACCCCTAAATGTGACAACGTGACGAATATGATGTGTCACTCCAAAAAAGTAAAAATACCTTAACATATTTTTCCCAAATGTAGCATGTGATACTCCAATGTGATGGGTATGATATAATACTCAAAAAAATTTAAAACTATGGTATGATACTCTAAAAAAATTGTGTTTTGTGTGCAACTCTAGTCAATTTTGAACCCTCAGATTTGAATGTTATGTGTTGGTAGAGGTTTTCAAATCATAATTCCAAATCAATTTTAAAACACATTTTGAAAACATGTTTGGTAAACTGGGAAGTTTTTGAATTTTTGGTCTACCCGGTCGTCTGCCCGGACATCCTCCCGGATGTTCAGCCGATCATCCGGCAGGTTGACTGGAACAGTACTTTTTTATTTTTTTTATTTTTTGCAATTACCAATTACCGCATGTTATTTGGGGAAAAAAAATTATATTTGTTTTTGATATTTTTTAAATATGTAAATTATTTTTTGAGAGCAAAATGACATATTATTTTTTTGAATTGAATTTTAAAAAGAGTTTGATTATGAGTTTTGAATGGAATTTTCAATAGAGTTTTAAGTTGTGTGTTTAGTTTAAGTTTTGAAAACTCTTTTCAAAACTCATAACCAAACAATTTTTCTCATTTCATATGTCACATCAAAAATTTAAAACTTAATTCAAAACATTTTTCAAAACTCATAACTAAACAAATTTTCTCTTTTTAAGTCATAATTCCAAAACACATAAACTCAAAACACAACTTTATTTTCAAATCATAATTGTAAAACTCAACCAAACACTATCTAAAAACTTCTTAGTATACTTTTTTTCCAAATGTAATACATGTGACACTCCAATGTGATAGGTATGATGTGACATTTTAAAAAAATTAAAAATTCTTTAATATATTTTTTTCAAACGTGATAATTCAACGTGACAGGTATAATGCGACGCTAAAAACTTATTAGTGTATTTTTTTCAAATGTGATACTCCAATATAACGGACAAATAAGTCATTACACATCTAAAAAGACTAAATAAATAATAAAAAAATATAAAATTATATAAATTAGAAGTCTAAAATACAGGACTTTTCGGGCAATGTCCCTTATATTTTTTTCTTTTTCTGTTTGTCCACTTCCAAGTGGCGCGCTCTTTGGGACTGAGATTCAACAGCTAAGCCCAGGCCAGCCCAAGCTTCATTCGAGCTGGCCCAACCCGCAGGAGGTACGGACTTGGGCAGATTGAAGTCCGTTTAGACATGTTGCTCATTCTTTGCTCAAAGGTCTTTCAAGGTTTGTCCAATTGTGATTTTGCATAGACATTATGGTAGCGTTTGGTTCAATGAATAAATTGAATGCAATAATTATATGTATCAAAATATTTATTTTTATATTTGGTTAATTAAAAAAATAAATAAATGTATTACAAATAGAAATGTCATTTATCATTGTAATGGAATAACCATTCTATTGGGAAGTCTAAGGAATGATCAATCAATTCAATTTCATTTTATTCTTAGTCACCTCTATATTTCTTTTTACTACATATTCAATTTAAGATAATAAAACAAGTTAAGTTAGTAGAGCTCAACATTTTAACAGTCTATTCGAAATCTGCTCATTAAATATAAGACTAGTTTAAATATTTTTTTTTTT